GGAAGAACAGAGACCCGCATGGAGGACCAGAAACATGGAGAGCTAAGCTGCTGGACGTGGCAACAAGAAACTTTCTAAGCCAGCACACCAAAGAACCAACAAGAATGAGAGGAGAAGATGAACCAGCAATGCTTGATTTGATATTTACCCTAAATGAATGGGATATAAGGGAAGTTAAGATGGAAGCGCCCTTGGGAATGAGTGACCACAGTGTATTGAACTTTGAGTACCTGGTAGAGCTAGGACTTATCTCCCCCCAAAAAGAACTAGGAATCAAAAGGCTGGCATACCGAAAGGGGAATTATGAACAGATGAGAAGTTTCCTAAGTGAAATACCTTGGGACACAGACCTCAGAGACAAGTCTGTACAGGGTATGATGGACTATGTTACCCAAAAGTGTCAGGAGGCAGTAAACAGGTTCATCCCGGCCCAAAGGGAAAAATCCGAGAAGCAACAGAAGAATCCATGGTATAATAGGGCATGTATGGAAGCGAAGAAACTGAACAAAAAGGCGTGGAGGAACTTCCGGAATAACAGAACACCAGAAAGCAGAGAGAGATACCAGAGAACCAGGAATGAGTACGTCAGGGTGAGAAGAGAAGCAGAGAAAAATTTTGAAAATGATATAGCAAACAAAGCCAAGACCGAACCAAAGCTACTCCACAGTCACATCAGAAGGAAAACAACAGTGAAAGAACAGGTATTGAAACTTAGAACAGGCGAGGACAGGTATACAGAGAATGACAGAGAGGTGTGTGAGGAACTCAACAAGAGGTTCCAGGAGGTCTTCACAATAGAACAGGGTGAGGTCACTGTGCTAGGAGAAAGGGAGGTAAACCAGGCGGCCTTGGAGGAGTTCGAAATTACGAGAGAGGAGGTCAAGAGACACCTGCTGGATCTGGATGTTAGAAAGGCTGTTGGTCCAGATGGGATCTCACCATGGGTACTGAAAGAGTGTGCAGAGGCACTTTGCCTGCCACTCTCCATAGTGTATAGTAAGTCACTAGAGACGGGAGACCTACCAGAAATATGGAAGACGGCGAATGTGGTCCCAATATACAAAAAGGGCGACAGACAAGAGGCACTGAACTACAGGCCAGTGTCCTTGACTTGTATACCATGCAAGGTGATGGAGAAGATCGTGAGAAAAAACCTGGTAACACATCTGGAGAGAAGGGACTTCGTGACAAATCGCCAACATGGATTCAGGGAGGGTAAATCTTGCCTTACAGGCTTGATAGAATTCTACGATCAGGTGACACAGATTAAGCAAGAAAGAGAGGGCTGGGCGGACTGCATTTTCTTGGATTGTCGGAAAGCCTTTGACACAGTACCGCATAAGAGGCTGGTACATAAGCTGGAGAGACAGGCAGGTGTAGCGGGTAAGGTGTTCCAGTGGATAAGGGAGTATCTAAGCAATAGGAAGCAGAGAGTTACGGTGAGGGGTGAGACCTCCGATTGGCGTGAAGTCACTAGTGGAGTCCCACAGGGCTCTGTACTCGGTCCTATCTTGTTTCTGATATATGTAAATGATCTCCCGGAGGGTATCGATTCATTTCTCTCAATGTTTGCGGACGATGCTAAAATTATGAGAAGGATTAAAACAGAAGAGGACTGTTTGAGGCTTCAAGAAGACCTAGACAAGCTGAAGGAATGGTCGAACAAATGGTTGTTAGAGTTTAACCCAACCAAATGTAATGTAATGAAGATAGGTGTAGGGAGCAGGAGGCCAGATACAAGGTATCATCTGGGAGAGGAAATTCTTCAGGAGTCAGAGAAGGAAAAAGACTTGGGGGTTGATATCACGCCAGACCTGTCTCCTGCAGCACATATCAAGCGGATAACATCAGCGGCATATGCCAGGCTGGCCAACATACGAACGGCATTCAGAAACTTGTGTAAAGAATCATTCAGAACTTTGTATACCACATATGTCAGGCCAATCCTGGAGTATGCAGCCCCAGCATGGAGTCCATATCTAGTCAAGGATAAGACTAAACTGGAAAAGGTTCAAAGGTTTGCCACCAGACTAGTACCCGAGCTGAGAGGTATGAGCTACGAGGAGAGACTACGGGAATTAAACCTCACTTCGCTGGAAGACAGAAGAGTTAGGGGGGACATGATCACCACATTCAAGATTCTGAAGGGGATTGATAGGGTAGATAAAGACAGTCTATTTAACACAAGGGGAACACGCACAAGGGGACACAGGTGGAAACTGAGTGCCCAAATGAGCCACAGAGATATTAGAAAGAACTTTTTTAGTGTCAGAGTGGTTGACAAATGGAATGCATTAGGAAGTGATGTGGTGGAGGCTGACTCCATACACAGTTTCAAGTGTAGATATGACAGAGCCCGATAGGCTCATGAATCTGTACACCTGTTGATAGACGGTTGAGAGGCGGGACCAAAGAGCCAGAGCTCAACCCCCGCAAACACAACTAGGTGAGTACAACTAGGTGAGTACACACACACACACACACACTCACACACACTCACACACACACACACACACACACACGCATAACACACCGACCTTGCAACACCCGAGGTGTTGAACAGGCCAGGTGTTGCTTCCCTTGTGTTGAACAACCTCATCAGTTGTGGTTCCCAACCTTGTACACACTGCACCATCCTCGCTCAACTGACCTTGAACCAGGGTTACTCTCCGGCTCTGACAATTACCTAATCCTTTGCGGGATCACCATAGACCGTGCTACTTGGAACTTGTTCCGAGTAGCTGAATCTATAACAACAATAACAATCTAATCCTACTAACACAGAGGAACTCCTGGCACTCCTGTACGTTTTAAATCCTGTATATTTCCGTGTTTTGAACGGTAGAGCGACGGTTTCAATTCGTGCAGGTCTGCGTTCAATCCCTGACCGTCCACAAGTGGTTGGGCACCATTCCTCTCCCTCCGTCCCATCCCAAATCCTTATCCTGACTCCTTCCCAGTGCTATATATTCGTAATGGCTCGGCGCTTTCCCCTAATAGTTCCCTTCCCTTCCGTGCTTTAATACTCATTGTTATTTGTGTAGGGGAGGGAATTACCAGGAGAACGGGCCAAGCCATTACGGCTATATAGCACATGGAATTGGTCAGGATAAGTATTTGGGATGGGACCGGGGGGGCGGGGGGAAGGAATGGTGCCCAACCACTTGTGGACGGTCGGGGATTGAACGCCGACCTGCATGAAGCGAAACCGTCGCTCTATGACTCTCAATATATAGGTATATTGTGTAACTACGCTTTACTCAACTATTTATAAACACAGTACCTTGAGGTACCTTTTTTTGTATGAAGGTACCTGTTTTTGTACTTCATTTACATGTTTCTCTGCTGGTATGGCAAAAAAAATAATAATCACCTGCCTAATTTTGTCTCGTGGCCTTCTATTGTTTTCTCTGCTGGTTCTGCCGGGCTCTAAATATAAAGGAAAATATTAGAGAACCAAAAAAGGAGGGTTAGAGAGATTGCGGGATCACCATAGCCCGTGCTACTTGGAACTTTGTGTTCCAGGTAGCGAATCTTAAACAACAACAAACAACCAAAAAGGAGAATTGTATTTGCATTACACTTACACTGGTTTGTGCCTCGGAGAGGCTGCTGGATCCAGTAAGTTCAGTAGAACTTCTGGTTTCAACTCTTTTAACCCTGTCGTAGCTCAGTCGATTAAGGCAGTGTCTGGGATGCTCCCGGACGCAGGTTCGAATCCTCGTCACGGCCCTTGTGGATTTGTTCGTTGTATTTGTATCTTAGCGATTCTGAGATCGGAAGGCAAATATATTCTCTTCACGGTGTGTCTGTTATTCTTAAATTCTGAGGCGATCTTTTTATATTATCAATATTTTCTACCACAGACGTGGCCAGACATTTACAATGCTAACCAGCATATATACATTTTCTTCTGTCCTCCATATACAGGGTTAGAGATCTGTTAAACATATAGTTTAGTGATTTATTGGACAATCAACCACAGAAGGTGACTATAGTGCTTTTAAAATGCTAATCTAACCTACAAATATAAATACACAGATTTAAGTCTCTCCTACATAAACAGTGTTCGATGTGTCTTTTTACATAGTGTCATTAATATGTGTTTACGAAGGTGAAATGCACTTCTGACCATACTTCCACATACATATATATATATATATATATATATATATATATATATATATATATATATAGCCTCGAAGAAAAATAATTGTATTCAGAGAGAAGACCTTGTGGATTCTCACGGAATACTTCAATATTTTCTTCTACCACCCCTATTCTTTTGTTTTATTAATTATATTTTACCTGTCAACCATCATCACGCAATAACCATGTAATTCAGGCGGAACAGTATATTATAACACTACATCCGTTGTAATCACAAATGTTGCTGAGGGTCAATAATTAATAGATTTTTGAGGGTGCTGGCACTGCAGCTACATATTATAGTAATCGTCGAGACAAAACTATCGGCCTTGATAAGCAACACGGTGTGCGTGAGCGAGGCAGATGTAAGTAGTAGGGGGGGGGGAGGGGAGGGGAGTAGGGGAAAGCCTTGTTGCTCAAACTGCAATAAAGTTTTGTGAGGGTTAACAATGCAAAGGAACTTTTTAATGTCTTTAATATACTTTTTACATTGTTGGAATACCCGGTGTTGCCCCTATGCTTCGACCCGCCATTATTCCACCAGAAACAAACGCAAAAACGAAAGGGAAATAACAGTAAGTAGACATATACCGAGAGGTTATCACACTGACCAAGTTATCAAGAGGATATCGAGTTTACGTAATTTCCAAATTAGGTATAGCTGGTTTCTGAATCCCAATTATATTTACCCAGCGGCTTCGCCAGACCGGTCGACAGATATCTTGCTAAATGAGGACGATACACTTTGATATCTCACTTGGTGGATAGTGGAGGCTTCAGACCCATGGAGTGGGATAACTGTAAATACTGCTCCCTCCCTGGGAATGTGAGAAGACCACTCGCCCTTCACGATGGCCTTCGCTGTAAACAAAGACTAAACAAATGAATCCTTGAACAAATCAAAAAGGGCCGTGACGAGGATTCGAACCTGCGTCCGGGAGCATCCCAGACACTGCCTTAATCGACTGAGCTGCGACAGTGCTCAGGTTTCAAATCCTTGTGGATTTGTTCATTTGATGCATCACGTTAGTATGATCTCTGTGTGTGAAAATGAATCCTTCAACAGGAGATGCACTGTTGAGAAAACCGTTAAACAGTAGAACAGTAGAACAGTAGAACAGTAGAACAGTAGAACAGTAGAACAGTAGAACAGTAGAACAGTAGAACAGTAGAACAGTAGAACAGTAGTAGTATGTCCTCATTCATCCTGCTGCTTCTCATTCTCGTTCCTCCCAACAAGTCCTCGTAATAGAACGTCGCATTTTGACGTATACTCCATCTAAGACCAAAAATCGTCGTACTGGAAAATGGAAGCGACTCGCGAAATTGATGTACTGTCCTGTTTTCTGTTGTGGGTCCTCTGGTAGGTTAGGATAAGGGCACTTTAGTACGGTAGTTTCGTGACGTCGGGAAAGCTTACTCAGAACTGATGACGTTCGAACACTTCCGGAACAAGTGCTTCACTGACGAATTTTGTTCGAACCACAACGCTGTAAATGCTTCACCCACGTACTACAAATACAAATAATCGCCAACAGAACCTAAACACCTAACCTAATCTAACCTAACCTAAACTAAACTAACCTAACCTCACCTAACCTCACCTAACCTAACCTAAACTAACCTAACCTCACCTAACCTCACCTAACCTAACCTAAACTAACCTAACCTCACCTAACCTCACCTAACCTAACCTAAACTAACCTAACCTAACCTAACCTAAGCTAAACACCTAACCTAACCTAACTTAAACTAAACTAACCTAACCTAAACACCTAACCTAACCTAACCCACGCCTAACTATATATTGAACTATAACATAAATTGATATTAATTTGTGAATATGGGAACACACCTATTTTGAATACAAAGTATGTTTAATTTGATAGATGTGTCTTAATGGTTGTTGGGGTGGAATGGGGAAGCAACTGCCGCATTAACGATCCTAGCCTGGGGACAGGTTGCACCCCCCCCCTACCAAGTGACGTTAGTACCACACTAGTGACGTCAATACCCCCACTAATGACGTCAATCTCCCTGTTCGAAAACCATACTGTCTGTTATTATGTCATTATTCCCTAGGTGTTCAACCCATTTGGCTTTAATTATTTTTTTTTAGTGTTTTGACTACCACGCTTGTTAATGATACGGGTCTATAATTTAGTGGTTCTTCTCGACTACCAATTATATAGATTGGTAGAATTTTTTTTTCATATATTTGCTAATATTCCTGCGCACAAGGAATATTAATATTCCTGTCTGGAATGTTAATTGGAGTGGAATGCTCAGCTCAGTTGCACATTCTCTCAGCACCCAAGGTGAAACTCCATCAGGTCTAACTGCTTTATTTTCTCCTAAACCCTTGAGTAATTTTTCAACTTCATCTTGGGAAACCTCTATGATATGCCGTGTGCGCGCGCGCGTGTGTGTGTGTGTGTGTGTGTGTGTGTGTGTGTGCGTGTGTGTGTGTGTGTGTGTGTGTGTGTGTGCGTGTGTGTGTGTGTGTGCGTGTGTGTGTGTGTGTGTGTGTGTGTGTGTGTGTGGTGTGTGTGTGTGTGTGTGTGTGTGTGTTAATACTAATAAATTTACTGGACATGCACCAATATTTTTCTGGCACAAGGTAAGGGGGTCTGAGACGCCCGACAGGTGGTCCACGCTCGCAGCTGCGATGGGGTCATAGCTGTTGAGTGCTGGCAGGGGTTTCTAGGTCAGAAAAGGTCACGATGCGATGAGGAGGGGGGGACAGGGAGACCAAAGCTATTTCGGACCCTTCCCCCTTCTCCTATGGCTTGTATCGTGTCTCCTACCACCCCTTGTACAGGTTTCGTGATATTTAACAAGTTAATGGCTTCAAATTTTGTGGGTTTTTGGATTTAGATGTTTTCCTGTGGCAATGGTAATGGAGCTGTCAGCCGGGCTGGGTAAATAGGTAGAGTTTTAGAGGTCAGTTGTCTGTCGTTCTTCCAGAGGGGTAGAGTAACAGCCGGTTGCAAACAGGGCTCTGTTGGCTGGACATTCTAGCATGGACATGTTACCAGGGCGCTGTCAAAGGTTCTCCAGACGGCGCTGTCAAAGGTCCTCCAGACGGCGCTGTTAAGATTCCTCCAGACGGCGCTGTCAAAGGTTCTCCAGACGGCGCTGTCAAAGGTTCCTCCAGACGGCACTGTTAAGATTCCTCCAGACGGCGCTGTCAAAGGTCCTCCAGACGGCACTGTTAAGATTCCTCCAGACGGCGCTGTCAAAGGTCCTCCAGACGGCGCTGTTAAGATTCCTCCAGACGACGCTGTCAAAGGTCCTCCAGACGACGCTGTCAAAGGTCCTCCAGACGACGCTGTCAAAGGTCCTCCAGACGACGCTGTCAAAGGTCCTCCAGACGGCGCTGTCAAAGGTCCTCCAGACGGCGCTGTTAAGATTCCTCCAGACGACGCTGTCAAAGGTCCTCCAGACGACGCTGTCAAAGGTCCTCCAGACGGCGCTGTCAAAGGTTCTCCAGACGGCGCTGTTAAGATTCCTCCAGACGGCGCTGTCAAAGGTCCTCCAGACGGCGCTGTTAAGATTCCTCCAGACGACGCTGTCAAAGGTCCTCCAGACGGCGCTGTCAAAGGTTCTCCAGACGGCGCTGTTAAGATTCCTCCAGACGACGCTGTCAAAGGTCCTCCAGACGACGCTGTCAAAGGTCCTTCAGACGGCACTGTCAAAGGTCCTCCAGACGACGCTGTCAAAGGTCCTCCAGACGACGCTATCAAAGGTCCTCCAGACGACGCTGTCAAAGGTCCTCCAGACGACGCTGTCAAAGGTCCTCCAGACGACGCTGTCAAAGGTCCTCCAGACGGCACTGTCAAAGGTCCTCCAGACGACGCTATCAAAGGTCCTCCAGACGGCACTGTCAAAGGTCCTCCAGACGGCACTGTCAAAGGTCCTCCAGACGACGCTATCAAAGGTCCTCCAGACGACGCTGTCAAAGGTCCTCCAGACGGCACTGTCAAAGGTCCTCCAGACGACGCTATCAAAGGTCCTCCAGACGGCACTATCAAAGGTCCTCCAGACGGCGCTGGCTTTTTAGAGAACTGATCTGGGGTTTAGAGTTGCCAGGGTGTCTTGGCCAGGCGGTGGGTGAGGCGCCAATATTATTCAGAGCTTCCAGCACCTGTAACAACGGTGAAGACCCGGTGCCCAGACGGGATGCCCAGGCCCGTGCCAGCTCTCATGGTGGCTTAATCTTCATCAACAGGGGCCCAGCCTGGCCCTCGCTGACCGCATCGTCAACATGGAAGCCCTGAGACATAATCACCAGTGTTGGCCCTGCACGTTTGTAACATTTTGTGGGCCAGCCAGAGGCTCAGGGCCCGCGCAGGAATATCCCTACAGGTATACCCATGATAGGGAAAAGGGATGGGAGTATGTTAGGTAATTATCCATGAGGCCAGTATGAGTATGGACAAGGAAGGGTTATGTGGACGGTGTGAGGGCCTAGTGACCAACCACGGGCACCATCGGGGATCGAACTCACACCCTCCAAGAAACAAGACGACGAGTGCCAGTACATGAGCAAGGAGAGATGGAAGAAGAGAGCAAACAACCTTCCCTCTTATACAATACACAGAGACACACTAACCTCATGTGTCAATGACACAATCCACAGCAGCCGGGATGAGGATTCGAACCTATGTACAGGGTAGTCCCAGACACACGCACTAGACCACTACGCCGCGACACGGTCAAAAGAATGGCAACAACCTACTTATTTTTTCGCCTTCAAAATGTCTCAACATTCCTTCTTGCCTTTTACAGATACATTAACTCTCTCACTCTTCTTCGTAGAGAGCTTAATGAGCGCCCAGGACCGGTTGAAACATCGTCACATCCGTTCAAAATGTGTATGTTGGGTTACTATATTCACCCAGACGATTGTGACACATTAATTCTGGGTAGTCGTAGTTACCAGAGCAATTCCCAGTACTTGAGTACTACCATTCTACCCCCCGCCGCCACCAGCGCTGCAAGAGGCCCAGTTAGCCCTGACATTGTACCCTCCTTAGTGATCTCTGACGCTAAACACTCAACACTGAACGGTCAGTCTTATCTAGAACTTGAATTCCGAGAAGTACCAGGAAGTGTGAGATACAAGTCACTCCTGCTGCCTCTTCTGGGAAAGGTTCCACCCACCCACTGTGTGTAGTGAGAGAGAGAGAGAGAGAGAGAGAGAGAGAGAGAGAGAGAGAGAGAGAGAGAGAGAGAGAGAGAGAGAGAGAGAGAGAGAGAGAGAGAGAGAGACAGACAGACAGACAGACAGACAGACAGAGACAGACAGACAGACAGACAGACAGACAGACAGAGACAGACAGACAGACAGACAGACAGAGACAGTGATATATATATATATATATATATATATATATATATATATATATATATATATATATATATATATGCAACAATGATCACAAAAACACTGATCCAAGTATGCAGAATAACCACATATGAAAAATAGAAAATGCTTAACGCGTTTTCGGCTAATTCGCCTTCATCAGAGCAAAGTAGAATCATTCTACTTTGCTCTGATGAAGGCGAATTAGCCGAAAACGCGTTAAGCATTTTCTATTTTTCATATGTGGTTATTCTGCATATATATATATATATATATATATATATATATATATATATATATATATATAGAAAAAAAGAGATAGAGATCAAATATCCAATTACCTACTTTTTCTGAAAAGCAAATTACCGTCCAGTTTGAATGTTCATTTATGAACACACACACATAATCACTTTTAATTCTATCAATGTGTTATTTTATTATGACTGACCTAGAATAGGCCATGTTGTTTGGAATTGCCAAGTTATATACAGAGGCTGATTTCAGTGTACCATCAACACCAGCGGGTCGTTCAATGAAGCACAACTAACGACCATTGCTTTGATCACCATCAAGTTGAGACAAGTACAAAATATGACAATCTCTGACCAGACAATAGTCGTATTTTGAACTTCCTCGCTATGGGCTGACGACGACTACCACAACCACCACCACGACCACCACCACAACCACAACCACGACCAGCACAACCACCTTCACTTTCATAATGACCTCACATTCACCAGAAAGGTCACCGGGCATCAACGTGACCTTGTGAGTGGTCAAAGTTACGTTCCACGGGTCCAAGAATAGATGGATCAACCAGGAGATAATCGACAGGGGCCGAGAGATAGATTGGTCGACAGCTAGATTGGTCGACAGCTAGACTGGTCGACAGCTAGACTGGTCGACAGCTAGACTGGTCGACAGCTAGACTGGTCGACAGCTAGGCTGGTCGACAGCTAGACTGGTCGACAGCTAGACTGGTCGACAGCTAGACTGGTCGACAGCTAGGCTGGCTGACAGCTAAACTGGTCGACAGGAAGACTGACAGACACATACACAACAACAACAACAACAACGACGACGAAACAAGCACTTCAAGTTGCCAAAACCCAAAATTAGTTAACAGAGACAAATTGTCCAAATTCTGAACATTATAAGTTACTAAAACCACCACCGATAACAAGAACAAATAATCCTACAAGTAAGATAACATCTTGATCATGCTCCGAACATCACGTTATTCAGACTCTTTTTTTTATTATCAGGATATGCAAATTGTGAAAGAAATATATTCCTCATTTTGTCCTTCTATATCCGGCAGAGAGATTGTGTCTACTCTGAGGCTCTTGGAGGTTTTTTGGAGGGCCTTGGAGGTTCTTGGAGGGTCATGGAGGGTCTTGGAGGCTCTTGGAGGTTCTTGGAAGCTCTTGGAGGATCTTGGAGGCTCTTGGAGGTTCTTGGAGGCTCTTGGAGGTTCTTGGAGGCTCTTGGAGGTTCTTGGAGGTTCTTGGAGGTTCTTGGAGGCTCTTGGAGGCTCTTGGAGGCTCTTGGAGGCTCTGTGGAAGACTTTGAGAACGCCGTGATCAGTCCTTATAACATTAGAAAGTAACATTACAAGAGTAAACACAACGGCAGCAGGCCTACTGACCCACACGAGGCAGCTGCTATTGGTCCACACGAGGCAGCTGCTATTGGTCCACACGAGGCAGCTGCTATTGGTCCATACGAGGCAGCTGCTATTGGTCCATACGAGGCAGCTGCTATTGGTCCATACGAGGCAGCTGCTATTGGTCCATACGAGGCAGCTGCTATTGGTCCATACGAGGCAGCTGCTATTGGTCCATACGAGGCAGCTGCTATTGGTCCATACGAGGCAGCTGCTATTGGTCCACACGAGGCAGCTGCTATTGGTCCACACGAGGCAGCTGCTATTGGTCCACACGAGGCAGCTGCTATTGGTCCATACGAGGCAGCTGCTATTGGTCCACACGAGGCAGCTGCTATTGGTCCACACGAGGCAGATGCTATTGGTCCATACGAGGCAGCTGCTATTGGTCCATACGAGGCAGCTGCTATTGGTCCATACGAGGCAGCTGCTATTGGTCCATACGAGGCAGCTGCTATTGGTCCATACGAGGCAGCTGCTATTGGTCCATACGAGGCAGCTGCTATTGGTCCATACGAGGCAGCTGCTATTGGTCCATACGAGGCAGCTGCTATTGGTCCATACGAGGCAGCTACTATTGGTCCATACGAGGCAGCTGCTCAGCTGCCTCGTATGGTCCATGCAGCTCCTATTGGTCCATACGAGGCAGCTCCTATTGGTCCATACGAGGCAACTGCTATTGGTCCATACGAGGCAGCTCCTATTGGTCCATACGAGACAGCTGCTATTGGTCCATACGAGACAGCTGCTATTGGTCCATACGAGGCAGCTGCTATTGGCCCATACGAGGCAGCTGCTATAGGTCCATAAGAGGCAGCTCCTATTGGTCCACACGAGGCAGCTGCTATTGACCCATACGAGGCAGCTGCTATTGGTCCACACGAGGCAGCTGCTATTGGTCCACACGAGACAGCTCCTATTGGTCCATACGAGGCAGCTGCTATTGGTCCACACGAGGCAGCTCCTATTGGTCCATACGAGGCAGCTGCTATTGGTCCACACGAGGCAGCTCCTATTGGTCCATACGAGGCAGCTGCTATTGGTCCACACGAGACAGCTCCTATTGGTCCATACGAGGCAGCTGCTATTGATCCACACGAGACAGCTCCTATTGGTCCATACGAGGCAGCTCCTATTGGTCCACACGAGGCAGCTCCTATTGGTCCATACGAGGCAGCTGCTATTGGTCCACACGAGGCAGCTCCTATTTATATGCACTCAAATCCAGTATACACAAGTCTAACCTAACTTCCAGTTTGGCACTCCTCCTACCCTCGATATGTATCCCTCGCTATCCTACACATCCTCGATATCTATCCCTCGCTATCCTACACATCCTCGATATCTATCCTTCGCTATCCTACACACCCTCGGTATTCAAGGCTAAGATATATCTATGTTGCTTAAGATCCTGTTTAGGTAATACGGGTATCTCAGGCGCCGAGCAGGAGTAGGGCCGACCTGCATCACGCTGTGGGCGGGAAGAGGCCAGGCCCCCAGATTCACGAATCAGTTACGCAAGCACTTACGAACCTGTACATCTTTTCTCAATCTTTGGCGGCTTTGTTTACAATTATTAAACAGTTAATGAGCTCCGAAGCACCAGGAGGCTGTTTATAATAATAACAACAGTTGATTGGCAAGTTTTCATGCTTGTAAACTGTTTAATAAATGTAACCAAAGCCGTCAAAGATTGAGAAAAGATGTACACGTTCGTAAATGCTTGCGTAACTGCTTCGTGAATCTGGTCAAGGGCAGTACAGTGTGTGTCAAGAATTAGCTGCCCTAGACTATATGAAGGGGAGTACAGAGTGTGTCAAGAACTAGCTGTCCTAGACTATATGAAGGGGAGTACAGAGTGTCAAGAACTAGCTGCCCTAGACTATATGAAGGGGATTACAGTGTGTGTCAAGAACTAGCTGCCCTAGACTATATGAAGGGGAGTACAGAGTGTGTCAAGAACTAGCTGCCCTAGACTATATGAAGGGGAGTACAGTGTGTGTCAAGAACTAGCTACTCTAGACTATATGAAGG